GTCTCCCTCTTCACATTGCTCTTCTGAGCCTGTCTAGTCAGGGTCCAAGCATGATTCTTTCTCACATTCCACAACTCCAAAATTTAAAATAAAAACTGAGGAAACAACAAAGCCACTTTCACCTTCCCTTCATGTCAAACACAGCCAACTGCCCCTTTGACACAAAGGATTGAGACCAGTGAACCATAGCTGGTGATTGCTGTCTGGGGTCCTTCTGGCAAAACTCAAAGATTCAATGAAACTACAGAAGCCAAATATTAGAAAAAACTCTCAAAAGAGACCTGGGATTCTTCCTCAGAAGTCCAAAGGATATATACTTGGCGTGATCAGAGCATCTGAAACCTAAAACACATAGTACATGTACCCCTTGCAGTAAAAGGAACTGGCATGAAGCAGCAGTAGGCACCACATAGGGAATAAGGATAAAAAGTATCCACTACCCAGCCAAGGCTAAGGAAGGCCAGCAATTAAAAGCAAGGTCCTGATTTGGGATACTTTCAGAGGATGCAGCACAGCAATCTTACTTTGTGAGCTGGGGTGTGCAAGAGAGGAGAGTGTACAATCATTTTGCTGTAGAATTTTTGGGATATAAATTAACCTATATTTTCTATTAGAGCAGGCGCAGGAAGCTTTTAAAGTAGTACCGGATTTCCTGCACCTACATTGTTCATTTGTACATGAGCAGTAAATATATGCAATGCAACCCAGAAGCATCTGAGATGATAAATGTCGAGACAGCATCTTCTGGTTTTCCACCCTATTTGATACTTCTAGGCAAGGAAAAATAAAAATGAAAATACCCAAACCAGAGATTGTTTGGGAACCTGGAAATACAGCAGGTACGTGCACACAGCTTGCAAGGCTCTAAGAGCTGTTGCTATTACTATCACTGAGAGTGATACCGGAGTAAATTAAACTTAAAAACCCCTTAGATCAGAAAATTGAAAAGGCATGTGTTTATATAAATTTAAACCAGATTAGACAAGTCTACCAACAAAACATTTCTTGATGAACCTGAGCACATTGGCAGAAATTATGAGCTAAGAAGTATTTCAGACACGTCAAGCAAGGAAAAGAGGAGATCCCTTTTCTCTGACTGCAGTAGCCATTCATAGGCTCTCTAATATAAATTTGACTGCCATTCTACCCACTGACTAATGACAAGGAAGCTTGCCTGCCTGCCCTAACCAAATTAGCTAAGTCTGTCAGAAAATCCAAGGAAAAAATATGCTGAGCAGTTTAGAAGTGCAAGGTCGGTCTTCAGGTTTGAGATAGATGTTACGAAAGAGTGAGAAGCTAATGAAACAGAGATCTGAGAAAACACTGACCATTTCACTGCTGAATTCTTGCCAATTTACTGTCCCTATGAATTCTACAAGATGAACATGAGCAAGGATAGCTACTGCTGAATCCAAGGTGCCCACTGAAAACACAGAAATCTGTACTAGCTAGAAAGAAATCTTCCTTGATAGTTTTGGTCCAGGTCTTAGAGATTTAGTGACCAATGGAGCCCATCCTTGGAGACAAAATCCACTGTCTTTTTCAAAGAGCAAGCGGCATAGCAGCTGCAAATTCCAGTGCCAGAAACCTCTACTAACCTCCATCTACCATCCTCACAACTAGGGATTATGCAGCTAGTTGCTAACAGGTACTGCAAAGCTAGTTTATGTTCTGAATCGGCAAGTTTCATTCTGTTAAACATCTGATTTTTTACCTTTATTATGAAACCAAGAATGCTTTCAGGAGAATGCTTTTTCAAGAGCAGCTCTAGTATGGTCTTGGCTTCAGTTGACTCATAGTTTCACTGAATAATGAGGAATTGCTTTTATGGCTGTGGGTCTTAGATTACATTACTAAAATTGTGATAAAAATTATATATGGTAGTCTTTAATAACTCTACTACAAGACATGTTAACTGCATTTAATGCCTTTACAGCACAATGTGAAGGAGTGACAATCCTGCCCAATGGACTGAGTGAGAGGCTGAGACGGAACTGAGATAGGGCACTGAGACAGGACTAGGATTAAAGGAGAGAACAGATCTGGCATAACTTAATTGATATACAAAGGCAGATCTCCAGCAAATGTGGCAGAGGTTGACAGTCATGTCACAGGAGTCAGAAGTAAGGCCACAAACTTGGAACATATCACCTCTTGTGCAGCCCTGCAGGCCTCTCTGTCTGAGGTGCAGCAACAATCTAGGCCATCATTTGAGTGGAAATAGTACCAATGCTTATAGGAAGTGGCAAAAAGAAATCTCAAAATGCACAGCAGCGCAGACTTATAAAATAACATTTTAACATATCTAGAACAGTCCTCTGTCTCTGTATTACAAACCCAAGACCTCCTTTGCCTTTTGGCAAGCAGACTACTAATTTGGCACCTTATCTCATGCAAAGAAAAGGAATCAACAAAATAAAGCATACCTTCTTTTGAGATACATTTAGGTAAGTCAGAACTGGGAGAGTGAGAATTAAAGGGGAAGATGATTTGTCAAAAAGAATAGCCTGAATCCTACAGATTTGCAAGCATCAAGCCAAAATTTTCTAACAATCTTCAGCAGCACTAAAACGGCTTAAATTTACCACACAGGCATACAAATAACAGTGAGGACTGCACTTCAGATACACATGTTGGAACTGGAGCTAAGTGCAAGCCAGATAAGAGATCCATTTACAAAACATTCCCATCCTTGCTGAATTCTGCAACTGATAGACTAGAATCTCAATGGAACAAAACAGGAAGCTTTTCTTCAGTCATCCAGCACTGAGCACAGGCTGACACCCATTAGATGACCCTCTATGAATTGCTTGCTCCAATGTAACAAATCAAGTAGCAAAAAAGGCATTTATAATACAAGATAGCCATCTCCATGTATCATGACCTTGATTTTCCTTTTGGAATTCTCTCATTAAACACAAGTTCACAGACCAAGTAATCCAGCACTGCCTCAAGAATTTTTTTGCATTTCCAGATTTACACAAAACTCTTAACTCCCAGTATTTTGGCCATTCAATAAAAGCAGACATGAATATAAAATAATTCAATAGGGAGTCTTAAGGAATCTTTCTGACTCTTGTTCTGAGGATAAAAACAGAACAACTGAAGTAATGAAAGACTAAATGACTCGTAAAAGGTTTGAAGTTGTAACTGGAAAATTCTGAAGTATTTTCAGATTACTGTACAAAATAAAACAAAAATTTTAACTGAAGACATTAAACTATACACACAATGCTAGATGAGGCACCGCCCTGGAAGTCATTCAGAGTGGAGTTCTGGGCATTAGTGGTGGGGTTTACAGCTCTGTCTGTGAGCCCATGCAAAGGTGCAAAGAGAGCTGAAAAGGGAATGGAAGCTCTAAGACAGCCTGCATGCTGCTGCTCTCCCAAGCCATGTAGGAGGGGAAGGCTATTTACACCTGTTGGATAGGTTCTTTATTTGGATTGGGTAATAGCTTGCCTGGATAGGGTCCAAGAACAGAATCACCACCACTTCTCTCAATAATTTTAAACCCCTGAGGCAAACATTGTGCTGGAACAGAAACCGGCCAGGAATTAATTTCTCACATTCCTCTTCTTTAGGCAGGATGAAAAGTAGTGACTGATGAAACAAGAACAATTTTACTTGAGCTTTCCAAATCCCATTACAATCTTTCTACTGAAGGACCCATTTGGGAAAGGATCATCACTCAGATCACGTGCCTTCTGCACTGTGTTTCTAACTCTCTCACTTCCCTGCATTTTCCAGTAGCATTCAGGCACCAGTAATAAAAATCAGTATTTTCATGCACACAGTGCTTTCCAGACCTAAACTCATGTCTTGGAGAAGGCTCTGCTTTATTATTCTGTTTTAAAAGACAAAAATGAACACTTAGGCAAAGGAATCAATATTATTTACTGGAGTGGCAAAGGAAGAAGTCAAATCTCCACCAGTCTTGGGCTTGTATTCCTGCCTGTGTACTGCAGCAAGTTTGCCTTGTTCCTAACTTCCAAGATTCAGACTCCTGCAAGTAAATCTTGCTGCTCTCTGAATCACAGGAAGAATGGCTTTACTGCAGAATCAGTCCTCTGCCCTGATTCCCAAGAGTGTATAAGCTGCAAATACAAATTCCAATACCCAAAATTAATACAGTATATAAAGTAGACATCTGGAAAATAAACTGTGATAAACACTGCTCTATCTTAGAACAATCTAAACTAAAGCATGAAGATGAGGACTTAGTGGAGATTTCTGCAGCATCAGGTCTAAGTTTGCATTCTGCACATATGTCTCAATGCCAGCAAACCTATACAGATGCAGGGATGGGAAATAATCAAGGAAAAACAGACATTTCCCTCTTATCCACCATGTTCATCTGCCCTTATTTCACCATGAACCTGACAGCTCTGGGAACACAGCTATTTTCATAGGGCTAGTTTCCAGACCTAAGAGGAACCATTACTAAGCCCTTAGAATCATAGAATTGTTTATGCTGGAAAAGATCCTCCTTTTAAGATCCTCAAGTCCAGCTGTTAACCTTAGCACTACCAAGTCATTAAAACATGTCCCTAAGTACCACATCTACACGTTTTAAAAACCCTCAGTGACTCGACCACCTCCCTCAGTAGCCGGTTTCAATACTTGAGAACCCTTTTGGTGAATAAATTTTTCCTAATATCTAATCTAAACTTCCCCTGACTGAACTTGAGGTCATTTCCTCTTGTCCTATCATTTGTTCTTTGGGAGAAGAGATCAACACACACCTTGCCACAACCTCCCTGCAGGGAGTTGTACAGAGCAATATTAAGCCTCCCGCTCCCCAAGACTCCTTTTCTCCAGGATAAACAACCACAGCTCCCTTAGCTGCTTCACATAAGACTTGTGCTCCAGACCCTTCACCAGCTGTGCTGCCCTTCTCTGGACACGTTCCTGCATCTGAGCAAGAAGCCAAACACAAATTACAAACGAGCTGAGTGCATTTCATTCTTCTTCAAGACGCTAGAGCTGTAATTTTAACTTACCTGACTGCTGAAGAGACAGATCTTTTGTCATCTCTATGAGTGTCTGACTGAACAGGCCACAGTGACCCTCTTTTGTTGAGTGGTGACCAATAGCTCTGTGGGACAGCTGCATTCCCTTTGCTTATAGCTCCACTTGCCAAGTCCAGGTTTGTTAACTGGAGGAAAAAAAAAGAAAAAAGAAAAAAAGAGAAACAAAACAAAAACAAATCCAAACAAACTATCAGAAACAATTAAAAGCCAAGAAAAGAAAAAAAGGTATCACTAAGTAAATAGGATAGAGTATGTACTAAGAGAAGTGAAACTGCTAGCAAATAGAAGTACACAAATGCAAAAACACTGTGCTAGTTGCATAAAGCAGTGAGAGATGACACCAACATCCACCATGCCTGAGATGAATTCAGGGGCTAGCATGAAAATTACAACCTTTCCATTCACAGAAAGACACAGGAGGAAAAGGACAAAGATGGGGCAAAAATCCCAAAGTGAAAAAGTTCCTGACATGTGAAAAATGAACTCCACATGCAATGATCAAAAGCTAGAAGCTTATATTACACTGAGCAGAGACCAGAGTACCTCTCCAGTCATCGTGAGTTGTGTCAGGAAGCCAACCATATGCACCTGTCCTGTCTCTACCCGCTCTATACATATAGGCACAACCCAAAAGCTTAAGTACCTTGGATACAAAATTCAAACCAAAACTCAACCAAACATGAAAAAAACTGCTCACACAACCACTTACAAAGTACTGTGTTCACACAAATGAATGCACAAAAAACATGTTAGGTGTACATTTGCAATCTTAAGGTCTAAAACCTGTGAGTTTTTAAGCATATAACATGTATTTCATTATTTCTTTCTATGAGCATTCCTCCTGCATTGCTTATACTCTTGAAAGATCAAACTATGCAAGCAGACACTACCTGTTGATGTACCGAAGAAATACATAATGCAACGGATCTACTACAGCAGTATAACAGTTTACATTTTGGAAAAAAAAAAGTAACAAAACAATAGAAAAGTTGAAAAGCAAACTTTGCAAAGGCCTCCCAGACAGACGCCGACATACAACTACCTTAAATTACATGATCACTTTTTCAGGAGCAGCAAAAACATCGGGGTCTGCATGATGCTTAGGATCATATGGTGAAACTGACTGACTTACTTGGCCCTCCTCACTTCTGTAGCAACTGGAAGGCACACAGACAATGAAACAGGACACAGACAGAAAGAAGAATCTAACAACTAGCCCTGCATCTGCTCCAGATCTCAAAGGTGATGCTTATTAAGGCACCTAAAGTTTGACTTAAGCATAGCTTAAAAATGCTCCTTTAACAGGATTTGTGTGCAATTACTCAAACAAGCACATACCATCTTCATTGGAATACACTACACTCATACTTAAAATGGGCTTGTTGAGGACTTCAGACAGTCCTCTCACTGAACTCTGGACTATAAGCATTGCCATTGACAACACAGCAGGCTGTCCCTCCTGTGTTTTAGTAGTACAAGGCACCTAAGCATTTTGTAAATTCAGAACTCCTACTTGAATTTCTCGACAGGATTAAATTCTAGCGGCTATACCTTAGGCTTCTGCCCACTTCTCCAAAAGCAGCCACTTTCCTCATCCCTTCTCAGCTCTATCCTTCCCCATTCTTGCTCCTCATTTGTGTGTCATTATTCTCAGTCAGTCTCTGCTTCTGTATTTCAGGCGTCATTCTCCTTGTTTTCTTCAGTACAGTTTCATTCTTACAGACTTCCAGCCCTAGCTTCCCCACCACTCCTGGACCCTGATCCACACTATTTCAGGTTTGGAACTTTCCACAGGAGTAGTTACTTGATCCCTCTTTCCACACTTCCATTCTTGGTTTCTCACATGTCCTGTATCCTAGTAGTTCTGGTTTCATTCCCCTCCCCAGCCCACTCCTTTTACCAGCCTCTTTTCTTCATCCAGTCCTTGAATGTGGGCTGCTCACTGGACCACACTTACCACACTACCACTCCATCCATGTCTGTTCTTCCATCTGAATGGTTCTTAGTGTCCTCTCCTAAATTATGTCTAGATATAAATATCACAGCCTCCCTATCCTAGCTGTTCTCCACACCCTGGCAGAACTCCTACTAACTCTGCAGTCAAGTCAGAGAGGTCCCCAACCCAACTTGCACCAAATTACTGAAAACACAGAAGAACAGAAGCTCAAGCCAAAGTACACTAGAGGTGCAAAAACAGAGAAATTCAGTTTAGCATCCTCAGTGTGGAGAGAACTTTCAGGAAGCTGAGAAGGTCTAGCTGAGCATACTACACCTGAAGCTTTTCAAACAGTTACTCTGCAATCAAGCTTCAACAAAATTCTGAATTCCAAATTGCTATTTCAAAGCATGGGAGATGAACAGATTTAAAGGAAAAGTTCTGTAGATATTAAAATGCACAATTTTTTATTTTTTTTTTAATCCAGCCTTGATTTTGGCTGGAATACTTCACCTTGCCTGAAGTATTCTGAAAACTGAATAAGCATAGAGAACATTAATTCAAATGAATAAAGTTTCAGAACACTATAATCAATTTAAGACAAGATCTTACAGTGGGACATTATCAAGCAAGCTTAGTAACAGCTAGTGTTATTCACCTTATATAGAAAACAATATTAGGTGTCATTTTGGTGCTTCTACCTCACCCTGAATGTTGCTGTGTTCTGTAGAATTTAATTAAAATTTAAAGCATGTCCATTGCAGTAACAGAAAGCTTCAAATTAGATTTAGTTCTGATTGTGCCAGGCACTATACAAATACCTAACAATGGCAGTTGCTGGTCACAAAGCATTTATTGTCCGAAAAGAAGGAAGAATGGTAAATGATGCAAACACAGAAGGCAACATGGTAAATAAAATAGGTTATATACAATTCTTAGCTTGTCAGCAACAGTGATCACAACTTTAGCTAACACATCCAATGTGTGAAATGAAGATGACTTCATCCAATTTTCTCTCCTCGTCATCTTGATGCCAAGAACCATTTAGTTTGATGAATTACCACCTCAATCCTACTCTATTGCTGGGACATGCTTTCCTTTTCAATTACCATTGTATCAATGTACCATTGTTTATTTGAAAGCTGTCTTTTTAAGCAGGTGAGCAAATAGCTTAGCATGGGTAATAGCAACATTTCACACATTCCAGATAGACAGGTGTTTAAACTACAGCAGGATTAAACACAGGCAAAGGATTCAGAAAGGGAGAGAACACCAGCAAGAATATAAGGTTTAGCTGCACCCAGCCCACCCAGACAGGTGTTACTGCTTGCTCCTGTGCCATGCTTTGAGACATTTCAGCTGCTATAATTAGCTGGCCAGGATGTTGTTTGGGAGGATTACTGAGGCTCCCCCAACACATCTGTGCTTAGCAGTGGCTTCATTTTCTAGTCTTCCTGTGCACCTGATGGGACTGCATTCTTCCCTTTACAGAGGCAAATAGCAGCAAATCAGTTGGTACTTTAGAGTAAAAGGTAATGTAGAGCACCTGGACCAAAATATCCATATAGAAGAGCTTGTAGCTTCAGAAATAGTACTAATGGAGCAAAACCAAACAAATAAAAAAATCTCTCCAAAACCAAGAAAGGCTAGTGGGGCTCAACAGAGAATGTAGGTATTGGTGTGCATCACAAAGAATTAAGTTAATTTTCAAACTGAGTTGCAACAAGATGGGTTCAAACTCTCCTGCTTGGTAAGATTCCTGTTTTTCATTAGCAGTGATGGACTTGAGAGTATTTTTCCTCACACTGACTGTAAGACAGGATACCTGTGTGGGCTGCACTGCACACTTCAAACATCCAGATTTTCAAACATCTCTTGTCACATCTACACATTCTTGGTGGACCTTGTAAAAGGCAAGACAATACACAGCTAATATCTCTTACGATAGAAGGATTCATAAAGTTTTGCTACAGTTTTTAAACTGATTGAGATAGCAAAGATGTCAGAAGCTGAAAGGAACATGCTGACTGAAGAACACCATGATACAGTAGATCCCCAAAAGCTCTCACAGAAGGAAAAGAACTCACTTGATGTACTTCCATTTATGATACAACATGAAAAAATGGGGGGAGAGGAGAAGAACATGTGGGCTGTCACAGCCATATCAACAGAGACCTGTGTTAGGAACAGTACGTATATGTACTGTTATATTTACTTCAATATAATGCTAATTAGCCAAAAGACAAATTATTGCATAATGCTGAAATACTTTCCTACATTTATTTTTATATTTAAATGTTGCAAGTTAAGTTCATGACTGCAATACACTTGCCTTGCCAACAGAGACACATAAGCTTAAAATAACTGATTTCTATCATCATGCCTTATTCAGAGAAATTTATTTCTGAAAAATCTTTGATACAGAAAACAAGGCCACAACACAGAATGATACCCCAAGTGCTGAATATAGGAGTTGAGGGGTTTTTGTTAATCCGCTTTAAAAATTCAATATGAAATATGAATTCTCCAAGTACAGATAGGAATAAAAACTTCAGGATTGAATTTACTTCCAATTAACAGCAGCCTATAGACAAAGATCCACTGAACAGTAATTCAAAGAAATCACAAGCAAGAGTCAGAAAAAGAGCTTAATATCTTTCACTTTTCTGATTCACACTGTACTAGTCCTTCAGGAGTTTCCCATTATCATATTCAACAATCTTTTTTTCTATAATAAAGTTAGTATTTTCTTTTTGATCTTCTCTAATGGTTGAATTAAGCTAAAGCCATCAATTATAACAATCAGAAAAGAAAATAATAATGAATGTTGCAGATCAGCCTCCATGGATTCAGGAAAAGCCTCCTGAAAGCCTGAATGCTTCTCTTGCTAGTTTGTAGGAGTTAGCCAGGGTGAAACAGGGACACATCACCACTAGAAGCTGTTACTCTGCCCCTCTTGGCAGGCAGTGAAAAAGTGACTTAAATTTTCATTACCAACATCCTGAACAGCAGATCCAAAGTTTCACTGGTCAACATGTTACAACAAGCAATACACTACAAATTGCCTACTTGATCCTCCTCCAGTTAGCAGTACTAGCACTTTTCTGTGGCAGAAGCCAGTCATATCTTGTTGCCTAAAAAGTGGTGGAGATTGGAGATCTACAAAGTCTAAAGATCATTTCTCGTACT